CATGGTCAACTTATCCTAAAACAGTTGAGATTATCTGTCCTGAATGAAATGCATACAAACTCATAAACAGGTCCTAGACTATATAGACTTTGTGTATTCTTTTACAGCTGGAAAACGTAAACGCCTTGTTGTTGAGGCTATTCCGACACTAAATCTGCCAGTCAAAACCATTTCGCCATCTTCAGTTACAACGAGGCGAGAACTAGTGCGTCCTGAATTAGCGGTGGCTGTACCTGTCGTTTACAGAAACATTGAACATTTCAGGAAAAAGATTTTGGCATTAAAATTAAGAGGATGATGCAAGACTGAAAACAATGATGATAATGTGTTATTTGAGCTGTTCAATCCAACCCACATCTTGCCCAAATTGTCCTTGCGTGTGGATTCTGGGTTAAATTTCACCGTGGGAGCATTCAATTGGCTGCTTCCAGACAACCATTTCATATACACCAATACGAAACGGTCCATGCAATACAATCTTCTCACCTCTGTTATTTCTACTCTGGAGGAACTGACAGTTTGCGACGGACTTGCTAATAATAAACTAACAAGCCCATTCATTTGTGACCCTAGTTCCTCCACAGATCCCACTCAAATTATCCGACACACTGTGCCCATTCGACCTGAAGAATATTAAGGGAATGCTCCACCATTTCAAGCCACTGTCTTCATCAGAGCTCAGGATTGTGAGGTGTTAACCAAGAGTGATCGCTGCTCAACTTGTGTAGAGACTGAGAAGCACATCAGCCAAAAAAAGGAAAGGTCGGAAAAGAAAATGTCTGAACAAGTAAAGAGTAAAGCACCCTTAACTACTACCAGCAAGAGTAGACTAGTAGCTACGGTCCAAAAGCAACGTCTTGTCTGCAAAGAACTTGAGAGTCGTTTGAAAGACCTAGAAAAGGAGATTGCAAAGAACAGCATTTCTGTCGACGAGAACTTGGAGAAAGACATATTTTCCATCCTTGCTGATCGCAGTGATGGAGATGTTTCACTCCACATGAAATTCTTCTGGGAGCAGCAGAGAAAGTTGCTTCAAACACCTACCTTTGGACGACGTTACCATCCCCACCTCATCCGATATTGCTTATCGATCCATGCTAAGTCACCTGCAGCTGCAGCGTATCGAGAATTACGGGACTCTGGAGTCTTGGTTCTCCCAAGTGAGAGGACATTAAGGGATTATCGGAACTTTTTCAAACCACAGCCAGGTTTCAACTCAGAGAATGTTCAATGACTTCAGGACATGACACATGAATACTTTGACATTCAGAGGTATGTGGTAATCTTTTTTGATGAAATGAAGATACAGTCGAAACTAATCTTCAACAAATTTACCAATGGACTTATTGGTTTTGTTGACCTTGGGGAAGAGGAACTGAATACCAGCAGTTTTGGTAGTCATTAACTGGCTACTCATGCTCTGGTATTTTTTGTTCGAGGTGCTGCAACTGACCTGAAGTATGTCCTGGCCTATTTCTTGACCAAAGATGTAACATCGTACCAAATAATGCCTCTTTTTTGGAAGTCTGTGTCTGTGTTGGAGCTGTTATGTAACCTGTGGGTTTGTGCAGCAGTGTGTGATGGTACCTCACCAAATCGTCTGTTCTTTCAACTACATGCTGATGTAGCTAGCACAGAGATAGATGGCGTGTATTGGACATTCAATGTCTTTGCACCTGACAGAAAAATCTATTTTTTTTCCTGACCCCCCACATTTGGTAAAAACAGCCAGGGATTGTTTGTTCAACTCTGGTAATGGGAAGCGTACTCGCTACATGTGGAACAATGGGAAATGTACTTCTCAGCCAACACAACAGCAAGCTCTTCTTAATTCTGCATCAGCTGAACAAATTCGATGCTTGTGTCATTGTATAGAAAATTTCACATATCCTAAAGAAATAAAGGACAAACTCAGACCTTTCAAACAAGATCTAGCTGATTTAGCGAACAGAAGTAGAAGTTTTAGAACGAAAAAGGAAATTCTTGTTCAGCGACGCGCCGCCCCACGCCGCCCCGCGCCGCCCCGCGCCGCCCCGCGCCGCCCCAAACGTACGGGTCGAAAACCACATACACTACTACTAATAGCAGATTTCGTTTCACTGAGTCAAATGGTAATATTATTTTCTTAATAGCATGCACCGAACCGGAGATATGAACCTTGCAAAGTCATATAGAACGTCTACGTTAGTGGGGAGTTTAAGATGCGCCAAATCTGAGATACGGACGCGATTAAAAAACAGTCGCTGATAATGGGAGAATATATAATGGATTTGTTTGCGGAAACACCACGTAAATTTATTACTGCAAAGCTTTCGATCCGTAAACCCGGATCTTCATCAGTGCATTATCCGGGCTTACGGATCGAAAGCATTGCAGTAATAGGAAATTTGCGTGGTGTTTCCACAAACAAATCTATTATGTGCTTTATCGCCATGCAAACGTACAAAGAACTTATTAATGGAGAATAGTTTAACTTTGTTTTTGTCGTGTCCCTGGCTTTGTTTACCAACAACAATGCATATTTTTTACCCGTGAAGTGAAACTGTGATAATAGCGGCAGTTTTTTGTCACGTCCGCGTCGTAGATTTGGTAGTATTAATGATAATACATTACTAGGGACATGACGAGATGCTACAGATCAGCATCTTCCAACACAACATATTAACCCGGTATAAAATTCACAACTGAATCATCGGACTGATAGCTACTTCGGATTCTGTTGTCGACATGATACTCTATATAGAACTTAGAATATAAAAACACTTCAGCGATCAAAACCTTCGAGCTGATCAAAACAAGTAACAGACCATCGAGATTCGACTCACTTGCGTGACGTCGCAATAAATGGTGTCAGACTCCTGTCTCCGACGGCCATTAGGCAAAAATATTTGGATTCAAGCGGCTCTAAATTTTTTTCGTTTTGATGAAATAGAAAAATTATTTTACTAGCACATTGCACTAAATGAGTACTTTTAATAGACTGAAAATCCTTTTTTGTGCATGCCAGGGGCACTTTCGCAGGATTTATTCGCATTGACACAATATCGTTTTAATTATTCTTGTCGTTAATTCACAAAGCCGTACAAAAAGAACGTCAACATAAGTCAAAATTGCAGCAATACAAGCCTTTCCACTCTTTGCAGAAAAATATGCCAAGTCAGCATTTTTAGTGGCCCAAAGCACGTTTACTTCCGGCAAAATGCAAGATTTTCGAAGCCCTGGAACGTGGTTGGTTTCAACCAGGAACTATGTTGTCCTCGTATGTCCCCAGCGGCAAAAGTAGGACTTACTCCTACCTGAAAATGCGGTGTCCATGTATAAATCAGCAACTTGTATTGAAAAACAACAGCAGGTTTCAGCTGGGGTTATATTGTATAATCACGTTTCGGTGTTTGTTAGATCCTAAGCAAAACCAGACCACCTATTCTAATCCATACCACAAACAGCACAACATAAATACGAAATCCGCGGCTGGGCAGTTTGTAAACGCGGTCTAAATTTGCTCTGGCGAATTTCTTCAAACACTATTTTATTCTTCAAACACTATATGAAAACACGAAATTTCAAAGCATTTTTTAATTAATCATAAATCTCAACAATAGAAGCCTTTCCACTCCTTCCAAAGAAATATGTCGAGTCAGTATTTTTAGTGGCCGCAGAGCACGTTTATACATGCGGCAAATTGCAACATTTTTGAAGCCCTGGAAACAAGGTTGGTTTCAACCTGGAAACATTGTCCTCGCATGCCCCAGCGGCAAAAGTATAATCACACACTATCTTACTGTAAGGAATAAATTCTAAGCGCAGGAATGAAAAGAATATCACACGACATTTTCATACGAGGTCATCACTGATGGATTCAAAGGCGCAATATTTATTACAAAGTGTCGTTTCCACATTCGCGGTTATTTCAGTATTGAGTTAATTAAGAATATTCATCATAGACTTTGAGAGAAAACAAAGTCAAAGTTGGTTTATCGTGTAGTTTCATAATTTTTTTCCTGGTCGTTCCATAAGTACATGCAAAATTTTATTTATTGCCTGATAAGACAAATTTTGAAAACTCTTGTTGATCAATGCTGCGTGCATCAGTGCTTCTTATATATTTGGATATAAACCTTTTGATAAGTATGCACGTATTGTTTAAAACGGCACGAGACTAGCATTCTGCTAAGTACCTGTCTCATAAATCATTGCATAACATACAACTGTTGGAAGCAGATGATTAGTGCAAATAGTATAAATGGAAAGGGAAATAATTATGCCCTATTCTCTGCATGCACAAAAACGTCTTCATATGTTTGTAACTGGGATTGTCTGGCATGTTTGTTTTTACTTAAATGTATACACGCTAAAAAATTAATACGTGATGAATGTTAGGTGTCCCACCAAATATGAAATTTATTCAGGTTATAAGATGTATAGGAACATTGTCCGATATATAAAAATATATCAGACAGAATAAATTCCGGATATAGTAAAAGTTGATCTCTTAATCTTCTACCTGATATGTTTATGTTGCTAACGCACATGAGATTACAAAAACATCTGTACTTACTCTAAATGAATCGTTCCTTTAAAATAACTAAAATGTTACGAGTGAACGAAGGACGACAAAGTTATAGCTGAGTGATTCACTGATGTAGACATTTTAATGATTTGTAACGGTTATATGCAATGCTTCCTCGCTGCATTCAAAGTTTTGAAAATATTTTGTGGACACATTCAAGTTCTAAATAGCTGAATATAGAGTAACTGTCATATTCAAGGCAGTTTGCATCGGTATTTGCGACCGAGGAATCTATGAAATATATGCAACGCTTCAAAGTCACGCGATTTGGGAAAAAGGAGTCGTACACAGAACAAAAAAAAAGGGAACCGATATTTTAAAAAATCTATCGCACGATATGCGTATATAATTTTATATTATAAGACATTATACACATTTGACGCTTGAATCGTCTGCATTATTAATCATTATCGATTTATTTCCCTTTCAGAACTAAATTTAGTACATAGCTACGTGTTCGTAAGAAAAATAAATGGGGCGTTAGCTATCAACGTTGACCATTTGAAAAATATTTCAAGCAAAGACATTACAGCATGCATGAATATATACTAAATTTGAATACGGATAACACATATATACATGTAGCAAGTTCAAGTCAAGATGAAAATACATAGTTAATATGTTATCTCTTCAGGAGTTCCAAGTCAGTCAAAAAAGAAAATCCATACCTTTAACATTAAGTAGCCTTTGTCTGTCTACCTTTTATAGATGTAGAGAATCCTTTTGCTGTTTTCACACGTCCAAACGTACGTATATAGACTTAGTCGTAACTGAAAATGCGGTGTCAATGTATAAAAGCAGCAATATATATTGAGAAAAGAACAGCAGGTTTCATCTGGAGTTGTATGACCACGTTTCAACTTCTGTTGGTTCTTAAGCAAATAACCAAGCCACCTAATCTAACCCACAATACAAACAACAGAACAAAAAATCGAAATCCGCGGCAGGCCAGTTTGTAAACGCGAATTTCTTCAACCACTATTTTATTCTTCAAACACTAAGAAAATACGAAATTTCGGAGGAATTTATGCTTCTTTACTGGACACATGTTCATGGAAAATATAATGTTTCATATGAAAGATAGTGTTTTGGTCTTTATACAAAAGTAATGTTAAAACAGCCTAATTAGCTGTATATACGGAGAATCTCTATTTACAAAGAGGCGACAAATGGATAAACTAATTGTCATATTCAAGGCAGTTCGCATTGCATATATTTGCGAGTGAGGACGCTTTGATATATATGCAACACTTGAAAGGCAAGCGATTTGGGGAAAAGGAGTCGTATACAAGACAACTGCACATGACCTCACAAGGATTTGACGTCTTCGACGATATTAGGCTAAGCCAATATTTCAAAAAATCCATAAGATGATATGCGTATAATTGTATATTGCACGTCCGAAAATTAAACGATCTGTCTTTGATTATAACCGAGGGAACTTCGACGGTCTTCGTCCAACTCTAGAGTCGGTTGACCTTTGCGGTGCAGTCTAGTCAGCAGTGGACATTAACCACGGTTGGTTGAAATGGAAAGAACTATTTCTCAGTGGTGTATGCGGCAGTATTCCGATAAAAAAACATCAGCAACGTCAATATTCCGCCTTGGATCAACGGTGAGATAATCCACGCTATCAGGAAAAAGGAGACCGTGCGTCGGAAAGTGAAAATATCGCCAACGGACGTACTGAGAAACAAGTTCAAGGCTTTGCGATCCAAGGTGAAACGATTGATCACTAAAAGTCGTTGTCAGTTCTTCCAAAACATCAGCGAAGCCCTCTTCAATAATCCGAAAAGATTCTGGTGTGTCTTTAAAATCAACAGTAAACGTGTCAGTGTTCCAGGATCTATGACAATGGGATCAAGTGGATTAGATCCTGGCTCGGCCTTCTCAGCTTCACGCCCTCGCGACATAGCAGAACTGTTCAACGACTACTTCCCCTCCATTGTGTCTGGAAGCGACAAAACAACTCAAACGGACAATCCATCCTCGCCAACTGATAGCAACTTGTCAGAGTTAATTCTTTCTCCTGATTATGTTCTAGCTGCACTCCTCAGCCTCGATACCAACAAAGCCACAGGTCCGGATGAAATACCACCAAGAACACTAAAAGAATGTGCCCATCAAATTGCTCCGTCATTATGTCTACTGTTTAATAAATCACTCCGACATGGCTCCTTACCAGAGGAATGGAAGCTCGCGAACATCATCCCCATCCATAAAAAAGGTGACATCTTCAACGTTGAAAACTACCGTCCATTTTCGCTTCTGTGTGTAACATCCAAAGTCCTCGAGCGCTGTGTGCTGAGAAATCTGAGAGATTATCTGATGTTCCTGATTAACTCCGCTCAACATGGTTTCATTCCTGGAAGGTCATGCACAACCCAGCTAGTCGAAGTTTTCCACTATATTGGATCCATTTTAGACTCTGGTAAACAAACCGATATAATCTTCATGGACATGTCAAAGGCTTTTGACAAGGTAAGCCATACAGCTCTGATAAACAAACTCCAACAGTTTAACATTGGCGGTTCTCTTCTCCAATGGATCACATCGTATCTACATGACCGCCAACAGCGCGTCACAATTCTTGGCGCTACTTCTTCCCAAAAACCAGTGTGCTCCGGTGTTCCGCAAGCAGTATCTTAGGACCAATACTCTTCCTCCTGTATGTGAATGACTTACCAGACGCTGTAACGAACTCGACAGTTGCATGTTTTGCAGATGACTCCAAAATCTTCCGTAGAATTGACTCCATCACCGATGCTATGTTACTCCAGGACGACATCAATAACCTTCAATCCTGGTCCATGTCAAGAGGTCTGGTGTTTAACGAAGGAAAATGCAAAAGTATTAGTATTACCAGACGTAGTCAACCAACCCATCATCTATATAGCATCAAAGGCAAAGAACTTGCACTTATACCAGTAGAGAAGGATCTGGGAATTTGGATTGCGAGCGATCTAACCTGGTCTAAACATATTTTAGACCGGTGTGCCCGGGCCAACAAACTCCTTGGATTTATAAAGCGATGTTCTGGGGAAATAAGCAACGCGAGGACCAGCCGGACTCTGTATCTGTCTTTGGTTACTCGAGCCAGGTATAGTCGCCTCAAATTGTGACCCTCATCCAACGTATGGAACGGGTCCAAAGAAGGGCAACGAAGTACATTTTAAACCTTCCGTACTTGTGCGGTGAGACTTATCGGGAACGACTTGCCAGTTTGGGCCTCTTACCGCTATCTTACTGGCATGAATACTTGGATCTCGTGTTCTTTTTTAAAGCAGTGAACGGCTTGGTCGACGTGTCCCATAACGTCCTCCCCGAAGTCATGTCTCAAACCAGAACGACCAGATCCCCAGTGGCAACCAAATCTCCTTCCGTCCGGCTAAATGCAAAACCTCTACCTACCAACGCTCCTTCTTCATTCGTGCATCCAGAACTTGGAACTCTTTACCAACTACACTAAGATCTCCTGACATTAATATTAGGCAATTCAAAACTGATTTACAAACTTACTACCTGACAGCCCTGAGAGAATGCTTCAACGAAGAAGTCCGAGGACATGGAACATTATATGCCTAAAGTGTAACCCTAGCCGTTACTTACATTGTGAACTAACTTGTTGTTTTTAGTCTCTTGTCCATGTACTGTATGTTATATGTTCTGTAATGTATGTGTATTTTTGTATAGGGCCCACAGTAATTGGTTTACACTGTTGTGGTGTCCCTGCCATTTTTGTC